GGGCGTCCTCGTCCATCTTACGGAAGGCCCATCTGCCGGGCCGCCCGCGCTCTCTTTCCCGGCGGCGCCGGAGCACCTCGGGGGAGATGGCGGAGAGGATCACCTCTATGTAGAGATGGTCGGAACCAGTGTCGATTCCCTCCGCCACCCTCCAACCCCCCACCGCGCGCACCGCAGGGCTATTGACCCATGTGAGGTCAATGATAGATTCGCCCTGCGGGCGCACGCAAGTGCTCACCGAGCCTTCATTGAAAAGGTGAAGGCCGGTCGACGCCGCCCAGGCCTCGGTGAGCCGACCACGATGATTGGTGACCGGGGAACCCCTCGCACCAGATTTGGCGTTGAAGTCTCCGGCCACCACCACAGGGTGGGGGGCACACCGTCTAATGACCCCCGCCACCCTGTCAAGATGCTCCTCGTAGTCGGCCCCCGTGGGGCCGCCTTGGGGGAGCGTAAAGGGCGACCACTACTAGGGCCCCCCATTTCACCGCTACCACGAACTCCTCGGCCTCTACGAGCGTCGGCCGGGGAGATTCCTGGCAGCTCCTCCAATAGGCTGCGACCGAGCCCCCCGGAACCCCGAACCAACGAGTGTCGTCGGCCGGGATCCGGTCGGGCTCGGACGCCACGCCCAGGCCTGCCCCCCGCTCAGTGAGCGAGTGGAGGAACAGGTCCTGGGCGATCGTCGTGTGGCCTACGTTGGCCTGGAGGAGTTTAGACGCCATTTTTATTGGGCGCCGTGTTCACCTCCCCCAGGCCAGCCACCTCCATGAGCACGGGGGCTATTTCCGCCCCCCCCCGATGTCTCTCCGCCCACCGTCCGCGGGCGAGTCTCCTCCATCTGCACCTCGGTGAGGACCATTGGGTCCTCAGGTGCAGATGGGCCAGCCTCCTCTCTCCTGGATCTCTTATTGTCCCTCCTCTCCTTCGGGGGAGGGACTACTTGGCCCAACCCAGAGGGCCCCGCAACCGGCTCCTGGGATGCCGGTTGCTGCAGGCCTCCTTCCTGTGGGGAGTGGGAGGGAGGCGAGGTTCGGGCTTTCCCCGCTCCTTTCTTCCTCTTCCCCTTCTTCTTTTGGGAGGCGATACACGCCTCCCCACCCAAACGATGGGTCGCCTCTCTGCCGGCCGTGGAGCACACCGGACACACAACACGCCCGGTGCACTCGGCGGCCCGATGACCCGGGCCGCCGCAGCGGTAACAGACGCCGGACCTATCGACGTCGCTGCGGCAGTGCTGGCGGACATGCCCCTCTTCCAAGCAGCGGAAGCACTGCAGGGGCCTCGCCGCCAACACCTCTACCCGGGCCATCCCCCAACCGACCAGGATGCGGCCCGCCTCCGCGACCTTTCTGGCCACGGCGACGGGACACCGCACCCAGGCGGTTCCCAAACCGTTCGGGGCTCTCTTTATTCCCCCCACCCTGATGTCGGAGGGATCCCCTCCCGAGGCATCTGCCACGGCCGCCGCTATGTCCGCGACCGTGACAGAGTCCTCCAAATTGTGGAGGCGGACCTCCGCCTTTTTTGAAGGGCGGTCCACCCTGACCCCCTCCTCTCCCGCCAGCGCTACCCTGAGTTTGATGGCCAGGGTGTCGGCTAATTTGTCCCCCTCCGGGCCAGGGACCTCAAGCAGGAGGGCCCCGGTGATGGCCCTCTTGCACCTGAGGTTCTTTATCCCCAGCTCAGAGAGGGGGACCTTGCTCCTGGCGATGCGCATCACCTCGCTGTACTTGCCAGCTGGACAGGTGATGCACACCGCCGCGGACGTTGGCGCCTTTAGGCGCGGAACACCCTTCCCACCCTTCCCTCCCATTACCCCAGATGGATCTGGCGGGGGTTTCCCACTCCCGGTCCCTTTCCTGGAGTCGGGGCGTGGACAGTTGCCCACCTCATTCTTCCCCTTGGCGGGTTGATTTTTCCTGGCAATAGGGGAAGGTTTACCCCCCCCTGAGATTGGTTGGGTCTGCTTGGCTCTCCTGCCCACCACCTTATTCCAGCCGTCCGACGTGGACGGCTGGGAAGAGGAGCGGGTCGCGACCCCTCTAGCAGGCTGCACTTTTTTCCCGGCCTCTTGTGAGGCGGCAGCGACTCCCCCCTTCTGGCCCTCCTTCTGGCCTACGAGCCCCCTCAGTTTACCCTCGGGGCCTCCCTGGGCACTTTCCTTCCCCTTCACTCGGGGAGCTGCCGGGGTTGAGAGGACCTGAGGCGCATCGCCCCCCTTCCCCTTCTTCCCCTTCTTCTTCTTGTTCTTCTTTTTCGGGGCCTTGGGGCCCCCCTCAGTGGGAACCACTCCCGGGGACCGGGAGGGTTCAGCTGTTCCCCCGTCACGGCCGTTGGGGGGGAATGACGAGGGGCGGCGATGCTCCTCAGCCTCCACGTCCATCGCCGATTCGGATCCCTCAGGCGGAGGTACGGGCGGATGGATGCCCATACTGGCAAATAGCCTTGGGATGAGCTTCTCCACGGCCGCCTCCAGACCGGCATTGGAAGGAGCAGCGGAGGCCATTTCCGCCACTCTCTCTCTCTCTCTCAATAATGTAAGAGACCCCTTTAAGCGGGGGCCTAATAGCCGGTGGAATAATTTCCCCAGGCTGCGGGCGGCAGGCGGGGTTAGGGGGGGGTCTGGGAGGGGAATGATCGTCCCCCTCATACTCTCCCCCTCCGATTCCGACTCGACGATTGCCGGCCGCGTTGCCGTCCTCCTCAACCTCGGAGTGGGTTGAGGGCTAGGAGCCGTCGCAGCCACTCTGGATCGCTCCTCCTCCAATTTCTTAATTTGGGCTTTCAGGTTCTCGTTCTCGGACCTGAAGCTCTCATTTTCGGCCCTGAGGTGCGTCAGGTCCCCCTTTAGCTGGCGGACCTCCTTCCTGATGTCCTCCCATTCGGCCTCCGCCACCGCATGACCAGGTTGCTGCGCTCTCTGGTTCAAAACCGCGGCGGCTGCCGAAATGTGGGCCGAAGTGTTCCATAGCGCTTGCACCGTGGTACCTTTTAGATTGGAGCAGCCCTGGGCCATCTTCTGCAGCATGGCCACGCGCTCCGTCACCACTGCTCCTAAGCCGGCCGAAGAGATGTCTCTGTATTCCTGTATGAGGTCCGCCTTTTTGTAACGCATGTCCGCCACCTTCTTGGTATATTTCAGCACCGCCGAGGGGTCCAGGGCACGCTCCTCGTCCCGGCCCTGCTTCAACCTTTTGGCGAAGACCTTCTTGGCCTTCAGTGCCTCCGCCGTGAAGCACCCATCATGCGAAGGATCCTTTGGAGAGTGTCCCCTCCCATCCTTCTTCTTCCTCCTGAATGCCGAGTCCCACCCCTCATCCTCCGGGGAGGAGGCCGAGTCCGAGGACTCGTCAACGACCTCCACCTCGTGGTCAGAAGACGAGGCGGAGGGATCAAGCCTCCTCTTCTTGCCCTTCGGCAGTTGCGCAGCCTTGTTTTTTGCCAGTTGCGCAGCCTTGCTACTTGCCGGGCCAGGGCCCGCCTCTCATCTCCCATAGGACCTGAGTTAGAACCCCTATACTATACCTACTGATATATTAATTTTGTTGAGAAAGCGATCAGTTAAATTCGAAGTCTTTTTTTTTTTTTTTGTTAAGGCAGGGGAAATGCATTACGCACGCCTCCCAG